CAGCTGCGAAGCAACCCCTCAGAACACAAGTGGGCTCTAAGGCGGCAGCCTGCAGGAAACCCCAAAGCGATGTGAATAAGTCTTTCTGTTGCAGTGCCCTTGGAAAGGCTGGAGAAAGAGGTGAAGGTGATGTTGAGGACTGTACTGCTTCGCCGTGTGTAGAAGGTAACTTCTCCATTTCAGGTCTCTTCTTGGGGCTGTGAATCTGATCAGCCATCTGTAGTTTTTCAGTTCGGCTGCCTCGCTTGTCTCACTAGGGGTAGTTGTGCCGGTAATAATGGGTCAGAAATTGGCGTCTTTTTCCAGAAGTTGATCTGTATGTTTTGGTGTTGGAAAAAAAATGGTGATTTCATGTCATTGTTAACGAGGATCCTGGAGACAGGAAATGGCTTAGAAGAGGCATGGATGCATCGTGACCGTTAGGAGATGGAGCCTTTTTGTGGCAAAGAGCTCCTGGCATAATGGTTGTTGTCGTCAAGGGACTTTCAGGCACAGGCTATCTATTATCAGGATTCTTTTCTCATCACAGAATCCAAACCTGCTGCAGTACCTAATGGCGTTACATAAGACCTTGCTGATTAACACTGGTTTCTGAGTTAATGGCCAGTGTCCCTGTTCTGTTACTATATTTTTAATTAGTACAGCTGAGATCAGAGTCTGTTAGTTTATTCAGAGTTTCAGCAATAGCCTAGATACTTTTCATGTTAGAGGGTGTATTTTTGCCCTTGTAAAGTGATAGATAGCTCTTTGATTTTTTTTTTTTTTGGTATATGTATTAGTTATGGATGTTTGGTGTTAGATACAGGCATGTCACAGCTGCATTTTGGAGCTCTAGAGCTCTCGCAGAGCCAGGACTTTGAGAGTGACTTTGTGCCCAATGAAGGAGATGCTAGGCATCGGTTTCACCCTGGAGCTGCTGTCCCTTCTTCCAGACTTCTGAAGAACGATACTAAAGATGGTATGTGAAAATGATCTTAGATGTCCTTTTGTTGCTCTGTCAATTCTCTCTGGTTTCTTTAAATTATAGATGTTACGTTTCTTTGACAGGAAATAGAGTATTAGTAGTTTTCAAAAATGAGTTCACAGCTCGTTGGTAGTTGAAAATAATTTTGCCTTCTCTTTTCTTTGGGCTAGTTCATTTGTTTTCTTATAGCTGTCCAAGTGCTGTCATTGATTCTTGCACCTCTCCTTCCTAATTTGCTTCCAGAATATTCAGACAATCTGATACTGAATTCCCTCCCTGGTAAAAACCTCATCCTGGTCATCTTTGTTGTTGTTGTTATCATTGATAGTTCAAGATTATTTTTTTCCATATAAAGCTTGTTTTTATATTTGTGTCATTTACAGAACTACACTTTCTTCTCTTTGTATATTAATCCAGGTGACCCAAGTAACAATTTTTTTTTTTCTCTCTCTTGCTAGAACTGCGTGGGGACAGCACGGAAACTGTCTCCAGCACAGAAGCACATAGTGCTTTGGAAGACCAGCCAGAGAAGTCTGAAAGGTAAAACAGTCCATGTTCTTTGTAGGTCTCTTGCTGACGTTCTGGAAGTTGATTTGTGTCTCTTTTACTAGATTTTTAGACGTAGGAGGGCTCAGGCTTCAAGGCAAAAGAGAAAAGTGAAGGGAAAGATGAAGTACTGATGAGACCTTTTTGCAGCAGTGCTGACTAAGGAGTGCTTTCACCATTCCTAGCTGAGAAAAGAGGTGGTGTCAAACTCTTAACACACAAAGATATCAATAGGTTTATTTTTAAGGGAGAGTGCACTGGATAATAACATATACTAATAATTTTCTTAAAGTTAAACAACTGGAATATATTAAAAGTAATAATTCCGTTTAAGTCACAGAAGTTATTTCAAAATAACTTAATCACTGCAGCATGGGCTTTGGCCTCACAGGAGAAATCTAGGGGCTAAGTGGTGGCTATTCCAGGATGCTTTTGAGTATTTGCTATTGTAGGCTTTATAGTTTTAATTATTTTTAAATGTGAAACTTCAGTTTGTTGAAAATTTTCTATATCTTTTTTTTTTTCTTCAGTTTGTTGAAAATTTTCTCTCTCTCTTTTATGCCAGATAGAATAATACTTAGCTCATCTTGTATTGTCAAATTCTTCAACAAAATAATATTAAAAAGGAGGTGAAACAAAATTCCTAGAATCCACATGGAATATGTCAGTAGAACAATCTGCGTTCCATTTAAGCATCACTTAGATTGGTAGAAAACTTACAAAACAATTCTGAAAATGTAACTTGTCAAGGATGAACATGTTGTTTTGTCAGGAGAGAGAGGTTGGTCTTTTTGTCCCCCCCTTTTTTTTTTTGTCCCCCCCTTTTTTTTTTGTCCCCTCCTTTTTTTTTTTGTCCCCTTCTTTTATTTTTTTTTTTCCTATGGTATACACAGGTGAATACCTTTCATCTGTGCTGATACATTTTCTTTACAATGTTGCAGTATTACTTCATACTTCGAATTTCTCAGGTCAGTGACTGTGTCTTGCTTTTCCAGAACTCTGCAGAAAGCAGAAGAGCATACCAGGAAACGTATGCCTGTCTGTGACCCCACTAAAACTGAGAAATCCCTTGATTCTGGTCACGAGGAGTCGGATATCTTGTCAACTCAGGAAGAGATGTTTCCTGAGAATAATGCAACAGGTAACAATAGACAAGCAAAGCCAAAATGTCCATCCCAGAGATCATCATAATCATCATCCCTACTTGATCTTTTTAGTCATGTAGTGTTTTAGGGTGCAGAGTGCTGTATTTTTCACGTAATTTCTGCTAAAATTGGTAACGCTTTGGAAACGAAAGGCCGCAATCTTTCTCACTATACTATGGAGCAATGTCTAAATGTCACTTCTTGTTAGAACAGTTACACTGCCTTGTTAAATACGTTTAATTTCCTTTCTTTCTGTGCCCCCTGAAGAACAAAACAAAACAAAAAACATTTTACCTTCTTCTGAAACTGGCAGTAATAATGCTCACCCTTTGTAGCGACACACAATCTAAAGTGTGGATAAGTAGTGTAGGCAAATACTGTAGACTTTCTTATGCTGGGTAACTTTGGCAAAACATTCCACCTTACTCCTCTGAATTTGCCTTCCTGTTTGGGATAGGACAGGGTTCTGCGATCAAAATCTTTTTGGAAGTAGGAAGACTTATACAGTCTGGCCTGATAAAAATCTATTCTATAGGTACAAACTTACCTTTTTCATCTTAACTATATTACGCTCACGTTTCACATACTGACCTTTCATGTGCAGTCCTTCTCCAACTCTGTGTGAAAGTCGGCTTGTTCTTGCCAACCTGAGAAGTAACCGTGCGGTAGTGTGAACATCATTCCTCAGAATTTTCTGACCAGCTTGGTTATGGGCCAGATTTCTAATCTTATTTCCTTTTGTTCAAAACTGCTGCAGGGAGCGGCTGTCCGATAACCAGGGTGGAAGAGGGAAGTTCTCTGGCATGCACCCCTGCCCGCAGTCTGCAACTGCTGCAGCTTTCTGGACAGGGATCCCTTGTACAGGAGAGTCATTCCACGTAAGCAAAAAAATCCCCAAACTATTGCAATAGCTTAATTGCAATAGTGCATTTCCAGCACTCTTTTCTTTATTCAAGGACTTGTGCTTGATTTTAAGCAATCAGTGTTTTAATTTTGCACTAGGAGAGGTGCATGGCTTTATTTTGCAATGAAATGAGCTAATGATGCCCATGTGGTCAATAGCCATTTCTCAAGTCTCTTGCTAGTGAACACCTGACGCTCTCCCTTTATGAGAAGACTCCTATTGTGGCAAGCTGGAGCTACATTTTGGGGAGAAGTTAATGCATTTTCTAGTGACGTATGGTCTTCTTTTCCATGTTCCCTTTTCTTGGTCTGCAGTGTCTCTTCAGGCCTAGTTATTCCTCCTCCTGTTGCCTTTGGATCCAATGCTCTTGTCCCCAGCAGTCCTACTGAACAGGAGCAAGCAAAAGGTAAAATTTTCTTCATGCTGGTCTGTGGTTGTGTTTCTGTGCTCTGTGGTTTTTACCAGCCTTTTCAAAACCTGCTAAAATTATATTTAAAGAATAAAGCAGGATTGAGAACACTGAAAGAGGTAGATAAAGGGAGATATGTGTGTGTGACTCAGATGCTGATGTGCTGTCGATATTTCTTGCATAGCTGTCAAAACAAAATCAGTACTTTCTGCTAGCTCCCCTTCACTTGAAAGATGGGAAATACTTCGTATGGGATACAGCAATTGTCCTCCTTTCTTCGGGACAAGCCATTCTTGCTACAGGCAAATATCTGTAGTAAGTATATACTGTTAGGGTAATAGAAAGGACAGAGGAGGGCAGCATCATAACGTTTCACCTTAACTTGGATGACTTGTGCAATATTTTAAAAAGCTTTCGTATGTTATATGTGTGTATTCTAGAACACCATGCCAAAAGAGGGATTGTTCTATATGATACCTTGGTTCTTAACCATTTTCTCTAAGCACCCGTTTGCCATGAGGGATAAGATATCCATTCACGCAGACTTTTAGTATGATACAAAATCACCATTCCTTTCTGTGAGATTCCTGTCACAGAATGTGAAATACTTTTAGAATAGATATTTTGTTAGCCGGGGTCTGAATTTGGTTGCATTTTAATAAAGATAGCAAAAGGAAAAGAACTCAGAGAAATGCTTTTTATAAATTTCAGATACCTTTTTCTAATTGTAGAAGTCTAGACTTGGTAGCAAAATAGTTACATGAATTCTTAACAAAACACTTTCTCTCCCCCTTAAATTTAAGGATGTGGATGTTTTTTTGTTTATTTTTTTTTTTTTTTTTTTTTTTGTCTCCAAAAAGAATTCACCTGGAGAGAAGATTTTAGATTCACCCATTAAAGTTTGAGAAAGTTGCATACGCCACTGAAGACAAGTCTTTTAATAGGATATTGGAGACTTTAGGTATAATGCAATAATTTGCTAGTAATGTATTTTCTGCTCTTTCAAACCAGATGAACAGATGGATATATCTATCCCTGCAGAAGGAAGAGAGCTGATGCAGAAGCAGAGAGGAGATACACTAGTGGAGATGGCCATCCCATGCATCCCACCAGGACCTCTTGTCCTGCCACAAGCTTCAACTCCAGTGTCCCAGAGTGCCCCAACCTTCTTTCCTGGATCTTTACCTATACCATCACAACCAGAGTTCTCTCATGTAAGGGTTCACGCAGGGAGATACACTAGTGGAGATGGCCATCCCATGCATCCCACCAGGACCTCTTGTCCTGCCACAAGCTTCAACTCCAGTGTCCCAGAGTGCCCCAACCTTCTTTCCTGGATCTTTACCTATACCATCACAACCAGAGTTCTCTCATGTAAGGGTTCACGCAGATATCTTTTCTGAGGTTTTTATATGGCTGTTGCAGAAGATGTGTGTTTGAGTCGGCCTCTGTGCTTCTGTGTTGAGCTTCCCTACTAAGTTGGTTCTCGTCAGCTTCCCTGTTCCCACCAGTCACAGTTATATATTGATCATACTGTGTGGCAGTTTATCCTGCAGAGAAAATGCGGAACAGCTTAAGAGGGCATAGTGAGTTACTGAATGTAGAATTTGTTGTATTTTAATCTGTGCTAGAAACCTTTTTTCTGCTTTTTTTTTTCCCTTTCTCTCTTTGAAAGGCTGCTGCTGATGCTGAACTGGGTGTCCTGCATCTCAAACTGCGTCATAAATTAGACTTTTATCAGGATAGACCTTAGCATCATTTGTCATGGAGAAAGTGAAGCTGTTTTGTAATAAAGCATTTGTATTCTCCTACAAGACTAGAATTCATTTAGTGGATTTTTCAAGTTGCTTATTATTATTATCTGTTGTTTCCTTTGTGCTTTTTGATTCTGGAAGTTATTACTGTTCAAAGGGATTTAACAGACAGTTGGTGGCTTTATAGCTTAATATTACAAATTTTATCAACTTAAGGCAGAAAATAAAGGTTGTACTAGAGACTTCAGTAGTCGAAACAGGGCTTCTCCTTAGCTGAAAGCAGCTTTCATGCTAATATAATAGATTCTTCCAGAGAACATTTCCAGAACCGTTGGTTGTTTGACTAAAAATAGCTACTAATTTGCCGTATTTGACCTGTACTTCATGATTTGGTAGTGTGAGAGGTGTACCAAGGATTGTGTCTGACTTTGCCACAGAGGTACTAAAAAGTTACGGGTGGTGATAATTTTTCTCAGCAAGAACGGGGCAATTCTGACTCATATAAATGGGGGGGGGTAAGTAGTTGTTGGTTTTGTGTTTGTTTCTTTTTCTAAATCTGTAGTTTTGTGCTGAGCTTGCTCTGCTCCATAATCCAGTGTAATGTTCTAGGAATAACAAATAAACAGTCCTACTTGGGATGCCCTGATGCTCCACGTCCCACTGTTTTCATTTTAGGATATCTTTGTTCCAACTCCGAGCCCGGAGAAGAAGCATGAAGGAGAAGAAAAAGCTGCTGCTTTAACCCGTTTATGCTTACCAGGAGATCTCTCTGGACCCACAGATGATTTGTCAAAGACATCTACAGGTGACTCTTTGTCACAGCCTTCTGAGTCCTGTAAGCTGATGCTTTCTGCAAGTGAATGCAGCCAGCCCACAAATACAGAGGTCAGTTCAGGCTCTCTGAACACGGGCCAAGATAGTGAAACCACCCAGGTGGAGATGAGTTCTGAATGCAAGGCCTCAGACTTGAGACTCTGTTCTGTGGAGAATGACAACATAAAACTGAGACTGGATGCAGGTGATCAATCCCTCTCGGAAAACTGTGAAAAAGCAGAAAAGGAGGATTTACAGACTGCAGGAAAGCCTGTAATGCAGTTAGTTAGTGCAGATGTAGCAGGAGATGGGTCATTAGCCCCTACAGCTCATCGGGAGATGGAGGGTATTTCTGGAAGTCAGGCTGTTGCAGATCAGTCTGGTCTGCCTGAGATTTTGTCATACACTCAAGGTAGAGAAGCACAGTCTGAGGATTATCCATTGGAAGAGACTTCTGAACCTGAGGCAGTTCCTGAGACTCAGTGTGAAGAACAAGAAAAACTGCAAGTAAAAGAGAAGCAAATAAATGAAGATGGGTCCCTTGTTAATATAACGCTTTCTCAGAGGTTTGTTCCTGAAAGGGAATTACAGTGTCATGAAGATATGGAAGTGGAATTTGCTGATGGTTCTTGTAAAAATAGCAAAAATTTGTCTGATCAGGCCCAAGAATTAGAAAAGATGGGACCAGAAATCCAGGGAAAAGAGACTTCAGAAGGTTGTACTTTTGGCACTGGAGAGGCAAAGAGCATGGATAAACTGCCCTTTAAGGCTGCTTCGGAAAACATGCCAAAGCTCAATAAAGTTTTATCTAAGGCTTCTGTAGGGGAGTTGCTGGAACAGCACAACAATTTGTTTCCGAAGTTGAAGAGTGACGTTCCATCGGAAGAGGCGTTGTGTGCCAAAAAACATCCAGGTTGTTCAGAATTAGGACAGATAATGATAATAGGGAATCAGCCACCACATCAAGAGAGAGGGGTTGACACGCTGGTGACTCAGCAGGAGAGTCAGGTGCCAAAGAATACGGAGGATACTGTTAGGACAAGGAATCCAGAGCAAGAAGAGCAGATGCAGCCACAGGAGAAGGCAACTGCTAAATCCCCCAGTCCTTCCAGTGGTAAGTGAATTTAGGTTAGTAGTTCACAGGTGTGTATTTTGAATAGTGTCAAGGACAGCTGTGTACAATCCTCAGTGTTTTCAGGGAGCACTGATCTTGGATGCGTGTTGAACAGTGACTCTTAAAAGCAGCACTACAAGTTACTGTGTTACATGCATAACATGCCTTTACTTTTTTCCCATTTGTCACACTACTGCAGGCAAGAATGATAAGGTAATTCTTGTTCCTAACACTCTCTCGCTGTTTTATGGCAGAAACGCAGAGCAACTTTGAAAACTCAGAATGTTGTGACCTTGGCAATGCTCAGGGAGTTTTGTAACTTCCCCCTCTGCCCCAAAGCAACAACAGTAGCGTCCTTGAAAGGAAGATGGTGCGTGGTAGTCTGTATTTTCACTCTTGTAGCTCTCCATGCTTTTTTTTTCTTTTTTCATTCTCAGAGAAGAATTTTCTTTGTGGGGGTGTACAGAGCAGCTTTGAGCTAGAAACTAATACAGCAAATTTATCTTGAGATTATTTTAAAGTAGAATGGTTTTTCACTCGCACGTAAGCTGTGGCTTGGCAGATATTGTCATCGTGTTGAAATCCTTTTAACATGCTGTTGTGTAGTCATACAAAAAATGTGGGGTGCTATACGTGAGTTTTGTGGAGCTTTTGCCTCTTAGTTGGCTTCATTTTAAAACAGAGAGTTCCGTACTCCTCAAATAAGAAAGTAATAGAAAACAAAGTTTTACTAGAGCTTTGTCTTGAATGGTAAATATTTTTGAGATCTAAGTAATCTTTCATTAAACTGCAGGATCAGAGAGAGAGTTTTCCCCCTCTTACGATGATGGTAGGTGACTTCCAGTCTCCTGAAGTTGGTGATTATGAAAGTGAGGGTCTGAAAACATTAGTTGTCAATAGGTGATGGTTGTCTTCACATCTCCTGAGCAGACCGGTATGTTAGTAGAGGTTTATTTAACTCTTTTCACTGATTTGCTAGGTAGTTTATGGTCTGTGAATTATCTAAGTCCTTCAGATAAAGTACAATGGAAGATCAATAGAATTGTGCAGTGCTATTAGAATTAAATGAGATGTCTAGCAGGGAAGATGTTTTTGAACCATCTGATAGATTGACCAGTCTGTGATTTTGATTTGTGGAACCTATAAAGCTGTGGGCTAGATAGAATTTCTCTTACCACTCAGAGGTCATGGTATTGTTAATATAGTCCTGTAGTCTGTTCTGCAGAGCTTTATTCAAGTGATAATGTTTTCTAGTTTTTCCTTTTGAGAAATTAGTGTAAGATATACTGCTTAAAAAACATTTCCTAACACTCAGCCTTCTTTTTCCCTTTATGTACTCAATTGATAACCGGTCTGAATAATTTCCTATTCTTTGTCAGGGAGGGACATCTCTCTTACTTTCTCTGCCAATTTATGTTTGGGGTTTTTTTCAAGAGCTGTACATTTCTTCAAAACTTCTCTTATCAGTCTCATGAGTCCAATATTTTTTGTTACTGTTTTCTGAACTACTTGCTTAATTTTTCCAGTTACGAACTGATCCTTACTGCCGTTGATGGCAGCTTTGGCTGTTTCTTCCTGAAAGCCTTTTGAGCTCGTTCTTATATGGTTCCCTCCCCCTTTCTTCAGTTCTTGTGACCTTGAATGGTGCTGACTTCTGGAACATGTGATCCTGTTTGGAAAGGTAAAAATGGCAGATTTCAAAAAGGAGCAAGATGAAGAGCTTTCTTCTTTATGTCTGAACAGAAGTAGGTGAGATGACTTTGAAGTGCTAGATGGAGACTTGGATGAAAAGGGATTGAGTGTAATACTTATATGTGTTTTTAATACCAAATTTGCTGACAAGTTTGAGAAAGGTAACCATTTAATAGTATGGAGTTGGCTGGTGAGAAGAAATTCGAGATACTAAAAAATAGGATGAAGGTAGTATCTTACATTGTAAGATAAGAATGACAGGTAAATACTGATACCCGTAGAAGTTAGATTACAGTGAGGTGTGGAAAAGAGATTTGAATGCTTATGCAGGTCATCAGTTTTGGAGAGACTTTCAGCAAAAGATAATACGGGTTTTCAAGCTAGACTTTGTTATAAGTATCTGTTGACCTATTTTAAAACAAAATAAAGCTCAAATTATTTTCAAGGAGTATGGATCCTTGTGGCCACAGCTTTTTAACATCATTGACATCTGAGAACAACTTCTGCAGGGGTTACTTTATTTTGAGCTAAGTATATGTTTAGTCATGTAAAAATTCCCATGCTTTAGGGGTTCTGATACCTTCTTTGTTTAGATTTAAAAGCTCCACTTTCCCAATAACAGTCATCTGAATTAATCTGTATTGTTGAGCACTGCTTAATATACCAGCTATCATAGCAATTTAATTGATGTAACTTTTGCACCCATTCTTCTGAATGCGGTCGGACCAGTCAGATGTTTGGGAGCTTTTTTGGTTTTGCATTCTTTAACATCCCATAACTAGGGACCATCACTTTCTTTCAGAATGTTGTAGCAAACTGCTTCATTGTTGAGTGTGAAAGTAGAGTATTTCAGTTGGCCAGAAAGGCAATGTTTTGTTTTGTTTTGTTTTTAATTTAGTGCATTCTCTGACAGTAGAGTCTTTGTTGGCTTAGGGAACCCGTGCTAAGCAAGTAACATGCTGGAGGCAATTCGGTGGATTGTTTTGTCAATCAAGACATTAGTGTCATCAGTTTCAGATTTAAGTTCTTAATTTGTGGTATTTAGATGTGTCTTAGCAACATCTTATCCAAAGTTTGGAGGCTGTCTCTTTAATGATATTTAGGGAAAGCTTTGGATATTGTTTGTAAGTGGTACAATTGAATCATGCTGTAATTTTTCAAACTGGGGGGGAAGCTTCAGTGACAGATTTTGGAGACTGCACACAAAATCTGAATCACCAGGGTTTGAGATACTCTGTGGACCAAGACGACCAGGTTCTTTGTTAGTGTTAGATTATTCTCTTGCCATTTAATGGTTTTTTTGTTGTTATTGTTGCTGGGGTGGGGTTTTTTTCAGTCTTTCCCGTTCAGTGGCTTGCAATAGGTCATTTGTGCCTTTGTGATAACTCTGAACTAAAGACTGAAACTCATGGTCTCTGTGAATTGAGATAGTACAACAGTCAGAAGAACAGTTACACTGCATCAGTCTAGCTTGGTATACAAGTTCCTCCAGTATTGAATAGCAGCTGCATATGGATGAATGTAAGGGCAAAAATGCAGTGGGGAGATACTTCTGAAGAAGTCTCTATCTCATCATCAAGAAAAGTATGGTTTAGGAACATGCTGAGTCTGAAGCGATGTCTTTTGTTTTTTGATGTCTTGGATAGGTATGGTTTTCTCCCCCACCATGGAATTTCCGTGTGTGGTTTTCTGAACGTCTGTAAACTTTTAGGCTTCAAAGCTTCCTGCAGTAGGAAGTTTGACAGTTTAAATTATATACTGGGTAAAAAACCAACTCTTTTTCACCAGGTGTTAGTTTCATTTGATGCCTCCTAATTCTGAAAACTTTAAAATCTGAGAACATAAATTTTTTGTAGAAACTTGCACATGGGAAGAATGAAGGAACTTGATATTAGTATCTGAAAATCTATTTCCCTTCTATTAAGTCTTATTAGGGACGTGCGAAGATTGCAGGACCTCAAATGTTATTTAACATGAAGTTGAATGATGAAGTTTTAGATACAGTATTCGTAATTTCCTTCAACTGAAAGAAGAAAAAAAAGCTTTATTATATAGAAAATAACGCTTTGAGGGGATCTGGTCAAAATACTGGACAGAAAGTTCAAAGGTGTTCTGATCCCATTGCATTTTGTGATCTCAGGCTAACTTTTCTGTGAACAAGTCCAGGGCATTTGGTATGCTGGGACTGCATGTTTCTTAAGACAATTTGGCATAGTCAAGAGAACAGTACTGCTCTTTGAACTTAAGAACAGTATAGGTTTTATTAAATGAAATAATACATTTGGCAGTACACTGCTGAAATGATGATAAAATAAAAGGTACTCAATGACTTTTTTGCCTCCGTCTTCACTGGCAAGTGCTCGAGCCTCACCACCCATGCCGCAGAAGGCAAAGGCGGGGACTGGGAGAATGAAGAGCCGCCCACTGTGGGAGAACATCAGGTTCGAGACCATCTAAGGCACCTGAAGGTGCACAAGTCCATGGGACCCGATGAGATCCAT